GTTGGGTCGCCCCCACGTCTGAGCAACCCTGAGGTTCAGAGCAAGTCCTTGGTCAGCTTCTCCAGAGAATAGGCCACCCACGGAGCCCTGTCCAGTCCAGTCACACTGACCCGCAGTCCGCGCACCGCCCTCACTCGCCCAGTTTTCCTCCTCCCTTCCTCACACAGACGAGAAAAGCCCTTTTCTTTGTGGCTGGAGAGGCTGACACATCGCTGAGATCCGAGCCTCAGCCCTGTTGCAACAATCTTTGTGAATAAAGTTTCTCTTTAAGTATAGATTAGTTTTTTATTAGACATACTTTTATTTTTTCGGCCGCACCATGGGGCATGTGGGATATTACTTCCCCTACCAGGGATCGAACCCGTGTCAACTGCAGTGGAAGCATGGAGCCCTAACCACTGGACCGCCAGAGAAATCCCATAAACATTCTTTTAAAATGATGAATCCTGCAGCTTCCTGAGAGCTTGGTTCTAGGGCCATGTTGCCCAGGGTGATATGGCACTGGGATATCCTTTCCCAGTGGATACCCATTTGGGTTGACGTGCATCCAATTTTTGTGGCTCTATGGTAGGAGCCATAGTGGCTGAGCCACTTGCAGAATTCAATGGCAATTGTGGGTCTGGGAGCTTGACTTGCAAATACCTTTCAAATCAAGGGGCACAGCTAGCAAGGGTGATGGCAGCCTCTCTGAATCTGCCATCATTGGACTTAACTGGCACAATTAAAGCCTCAGTTATGGGTGGCTGAATCTAGAAGCTCCCAACAGTCCAAGGTGTTGCCCAGAAGGATGATGAGATGGTTCTGCTGCAAATAGGTTTTAAGTCATATGACCAGATTTGGGTGTATGTGGTTCATAAGGTATCAGGTTGTTTGCCAATTAAAATACATATGGTTGTATTTTGAGGTTGGAACTCCAGCACTAGCCTGCATGGACTTTAGTCAATAATAATGTATCAGTGATAAAATAAACAAGGTCCTACTGTCTAGCACAGGGAACTGTATTCAACATCCTGTGATGAACCGTAATGGAAAAGAATATGAAAAAGAATGTGTGTGTGTGTGTGTGTGTATATATATATATAACTGAATCACTTTGTTGTACAGCAGAAATTAACACATTGTAAATCAACTATACTTCAATAAAATTAAAAACCTTAAAAAAAAGATTGTGATATTCCAAACTCAACCTCCATAGTTTTATAACAACCATTCAAATTAAAGAAAAGGTAGTTTAAAAAGTCCCTGTATCTCTCAGTATATTGATGGCAATACTAATTTCTGAAATTCCTCCATGAGTGAGGTGTTGCTTCAGGCTTACTATCTTAAGGAACAGTTCTAGAAGCATCTCTTTGACCTTTCCCCAACAATATGCCTCAAGGAAACCAAAATGGTAATTTTAGTGGTTAGTAAGTGTATCTATTTCTACAGTCCATCCTGGGCCTGAGGAACTAATCTGTTTTCGTTATTTTTATAGGGCATTTTGTAATTTATGATTTTGTAAGTTTCTGTGCACAGGCTTTGCACATTTTTCTTGGACTTCAACATTTTGCTTCTGATTTATAAGCGCTTTTAAAACTATTAATTAGGGTTTCTCTGGTGGTGCAGTGGTTAAGAGTCCGCCTTCCAATGTAGGGTACACGGGTTCAAGCCCTGGCCCAGGAGGATCCTACATGCCACGGAGCAACTAAGCCCGTGCACCACGACTATTGAGCCTGTGCTGTAGAGCCTGCCAGCCCGTGTGCCTAGAGCCCGTGGTCCGCAACAAAAGCCACCGCCATGAGAGGCCCGTGCACCGCAAGAAGAGTGGCCCACGCTCGCCCCAAATGCAGAGAGGCCCCTGCGCAGCAATGAAGATCCAATGCAGCCACAAAAAAAAAAAAAAATTATTAATGATATTGCATTTTTTGCTATGACAGCATTGAAAACATTTCCAAGTTATTATATCTTTCATCTTATCATTTATGACGTTTTTATTTTTTTCAAATCTTGTCATCATTCTATTTATAGTTTTTCTTTGGATGTCGTGACTTTCACTCCCTAAGTATACAGAAATACTTACTGATGTTTTCTTTTAGTTTTTTTTTTTTTTTAAAGCAGCATTGGGTCTTCGTTGCGGCACGTGGGACCTTCCTTGTGGCATGCGGGATCTTTCATTGCAGCGCCCAGACTCTTCGTTGCAGCATGGGCTTCTCTCTAGTTGTGGCGCATGGGCTCCAGAGCATGCAAGCTCAGTACTCGTGGCACACAAGCTCTCTAGTTGCGGTGCATGGGCTTTAGAGCACAAAGGCTTAGATGTCCTGTGGCATGTGGGATCTTAGTTCCCCAACCAGGGATAGAACCCGTGCCCCTGCAGAGGAAGCATGGAGTCTTAACCACTGGACTGCCATGTGGATGTAGTAGAAAGAGGGCTGAGATTGAATCATCTCTTGCCATAAATCATCATATACAGTATTTTATTATATTCTTGTGTCTGTTTATAGACTCTCAAGGGCGTATATGTTCATTCCAAGATTTCTCAACAATGGCACTATTGTTATTTTGAGTCAGATAATTCCTTGTTTCTGAGGGCCATTTCAATTATTTGTACTCATTTGTTATTTTAACTGGTGATCTGATCAGAAGTTCTTCCTCATTCTTCATTTACATTTGCCTACCTACTCCTTGCACTACTTTCAGAAATTCTTTTATAATTATCTTATTATGAAGCATAAAGTACTTCTTGATGCAAATTTGGTTGGAAATTTCTCTAAATTTTATGGCTAGGTTTAGAGAAACCTGCATCTTTGAACTGAGGAGTCTTCAATCCAACAATGTTATTTATATATCCATGAAGGTGACACCTTTGTCACTTCATCAGGAAACACTTTTTTTTTGTTTGTTTGTTTTTGTTTTTGTTTTTGTTTTTGTTTTGCGGTACGCGGGCCTCTCACTGTTGTGGCCTCTCCCGTTGCGGAGCACAGGCTCCAGACACACAGGCTCAGCAGCCATGGCTCACGGGCCTAGCCGCTCCGCGGCATGTGGGATCTTCCCGGACCGGGGCACGAACCCGTGTCCCCTGCATCGGCAGGCAGACTCTCAACCACTTCGCCACCAGGGAAGCCCCAGGAAACACTTTTAAGTGTTCTTATATGGATCCTGCACATGGCATTAAGCCTATCCTGCAATATCTAATATATAGTTTCCCAGAAAATGCAATTTTAGTCCAATAATGTATTTTATTATGTAAATCATATATATTTAATCAGTAACTAGTAAATTGCCAATAGTTCTAACAGTTTTATAGTTGTTTCATCTTTAGTTGCTCAAGAAAGCAATGCTATCACCTCCAATCACAATATTTATTCCTATCCTTTATAGGGCTCATTGTCTATTCTGACATGACCTTATTACAGATTAAAGCAATGATAAATAATTGAGGTGAAAATAGACTATTTGTTTTGTTTGGTTGTTCCTTTCATTCGGAAGTCCTACTGATATCAGTTCCTCTTCACTTCCTGCTCTCAAACACCTTCAATGAGTCGCAGCCTGGCCCGGCAGTCATTGCCTAAAATCGATCAGAGAAAATTTAGTAATTATAATAATAATGGCAGTGTCTCTAGCAGCTAAGATTGTGAAATAAGGCCACAGACTTCTTTCCAATAGTGCTGAAATTACGTCGGGGAGACAGACAATAAGCACCAAATAAACTCACAGAAAATGGGGAGTATAAATGCAAGAGAGACTCCTATTAGAGCAATTAACAAAAGGAGAGATAATGCTTCCGGGGAGACTCCTCAAAAGGTCACGTGAGAGACAGACCTTTACACTGAGACCAAGGAGTAGAATACGAGGTGTCCGACTGTGGAGAGAGAGAGGAGGGGATGTTTTCTTACAGGGAAAATGTCACTGATTTTTTAATTGATGGAATTAGATTTGCAGAATGGAGAGAGGGTGGTGTTGGACCCCTGCAGACCTATGGCAACAGAAGCTGGGGGAGTAGGGGTGCCTCCGCACAGATTTTAAACAAAATAAAGGCGGGAAGGGATTCCCTGTCAGTCCAGTGGTTAGGACAGGGCGCTTCCACTGCAGGGGGCATGGGTTCCATTCCTGGTCCAGGAACTAATATCCTTCAAGCCGCGCGGCGAAACAAAGGAAAAATAATAGAGAAAATAACGGAGGGAAGGACAAAGAATATAAATGGGAACATTGACAAGAAAAATCCTGATCATACGCTAAAATGATAGAAATGAAATCTTATAGAAGCAAACCAGAATCAGATCTAAGTGCATTAAAGAAAAAAAAATCAGATTTCGAGACCAAAGTGGAAAAAATACGGTTTCCCAGAAAACTCAGACACAATGATATCAATTTTCAGTATAGGTGCTGATATACTAGAGGTCGTGGTCCCTAAAGCCCCAAGTCCACCCCTGACCCTGGAAGTCACCAGTCTCCCGCGTCCTGTCCAGTCCCGCCTCCAGACACGGGGTGCTCCGCGTGGAAACTGGGTCAGGACATCCAAGACCAGAAAGGAGGACGAAGAGGGGCCGTCGAGCTGCGGGCTGACGCCAAGTCCGACCTGCCCGGGGCGAGTTCTGCTCGGAGGCCACATCCCGGGCAGGCAGTTCCGCGTCCAGGGTAGAAGACCGGACAAAGACAGGGCAGAAGCTGAGAATCCACGTTTCCGCCCGGCTTTTCCACGTGATCCCTGCCCCCGCCCATCTCCCAGGCAGGGTCGGTGCAGACACTCAAATTGCCCAATCAGGGGCACCTGGGCCTGTAGCACTATCCTCAGAGGCTCCAAAAGTGGTGCCCGAAGCGCTGTGCAATCAGGATGCGTGCCTCGGGAAACTACCCAATCAGAGTCCCCATGGGGAGGGATTACCTGGAGAACCGTCCAATCAGAGTGCAGGGAATCCCAATTCTATCCAATCAGGGCGCGGGACCCGGAACACCGTCCAATCAGGGCCTGGGGGCGGGCACGCTCCCAGCCCATGTAGGGGGTCGTTCTCGGCCGGCAGTGGTGCTGGTGCGCTACCCCGTGCAGCCCGAGGTTAATATTCCGCATCGCTCTCACCTGCCCAGGTCGCGGGGCCGCGAGACCGCGGGAAGGACTTCCGGCAGAGTCCGGAGCGGGGCGGAGATGGTGAGTGCGCTGACCGGGTCGGAGACTGCGAGGGGCTGGTTCGAACCGGCAGGAACCAGCTGGAAGCTGACGCGGACCGGGGTCTCCACGCCCCTCCCCCAGGGTCCCGGCCAGAGTCCCCGCCCTTGGTCGCGGGGTGGGGGGGGGGTCCCCCTGTATTCCCTTTTTCTTTAGTGACTCACCAAGCTTCCTAAATATGAGGCTTTAAACGAGGGGATCTTTTAATTTCTCATTCGTTTATCGCAACCACAGGGGGGAGGGTATATAGCACTTATTAGACATTCAAGGTATTTTTCATTAAATGGATGGATTCTGGTGCCCATGGGATTGAGTTTCTCGCATGTAGAAAACTAGGATTAGAGTCAGCATTTCAAGTACAAAGAATGAGTTGCAATTACATTGAACCTGTAGATGAATTCGAGGGTGGATCTACACCTTTTACGGTATTGAACTTTGCGATCCACGGTCTTGGTATGTCTCCTCATTAATTTCCTTTAATAATGTTTTACTGTTTTCGTCATGTTTTACAAAACCTTTGTTAGACTTGTTCTGCATGTAATGTTGATGCTGATTTAAATGGTATCTTAAAAAAAATACTGTTCCTGGTACATAGAAGTAAACTCATTTTTGAGCATTTTTCTTAGTGTCTTTGTTAGGTGCAAGCATAGATTTTAATTATTGATCTGTAAAATCTTTGAATCTTTACTTACAAAATCTTACCTGCAAATAATGATACTTCAGCTTTTTTCTTGTCCTGTCATTTTACCTTTTTCTTTTCTTTTTAAATGATTCCCAGGACCTCCTGTCCAGTGTAGAATAAGGTACTCTGTGTGTCTTGTCTTCTTGACAAGAGAGCTGTTTAACTATTTCAGATTTTTCATTTACCATTGCAGTGTTTTTATGCACCATCTTCTCCAGGTAGCCATGTTCCTTCTAGTTCTGATGTATTAAATTTTTATGTCCATTAATGATAGTCATTGTTTTGGATTTGAGGACGAATTATGATTTTTCTGCATTTCTATTATATAGTAAAATGGATTAACTTTTATATACTGAAAACTACAAAAAAAATCTATTTAATTTTTATTGTAGTATTGTTGCTTTACAATGTTGTGTTAGTTCCTGCTGTCCAGCAAAATGAATCAGTTATACGTGTACATATATCCCCTCTTTTTTAGATTTCCTTCCCATTAACGTCACCACAGAGCACTGAGTTCCTGGTTTTATAAAATGGATTAATTTTTAAACATTATTGCATTCCTAGAGTAAAATGTGCTTGGTTGTGGGACTTCCCTGGCGGTCCAGTGGTTAGGACTCCATGCTTCCACTGCAGGGGGCACAGGTTCGATCCCTGGTCTGGGAACTAGGATCCCACATGCCCCATGGCTCGGCAAAAAAAAAAAAAAAAGCTTGGTCGTGCTTGATTATGCACATTACTCATTATTTAGGGAACTAATTTTTAATAGAATTTTGCACCTGTGTTTGTTAATGATAGTTTATTTTTTTCATTTGTACTATTCTGCTCTTGGCATGTCTCTGAAAAAGGAATTGTTTTCTGCACATAGAATTATTGATCTCGTTAATATTTAATAAAACTAGCCTGTAAAACAATTTAGGATTTTTGTTTCCTTTTTGTGAATGTTTGAAAATACCCTTTTATTATCTTTAAATTACTTTCGACTACTGAGTAGTATGGAAGTACTCATATTTTAAAATTTTATTTTAGACCATTCCTCTCCTCTCGTGTTTAATCCCTAGAACATCCCTAATTATGCCTGCTTTTTCATTTGTAACTTTATTTGCCCATGCTTTGTTTTTCTTGAAAAAAATTGTTAGAGGTTGCAATCTGATTAGTTCTAAGAGATGTGGTTTGTATGGTTTTTTGTTTTGGACTCACCGCACAGCTTGTGGGATCTTGGTTCCCCAACCAGGAGTTGAACCCAGGCTCTTGGCAGTGAAACCACAGAGTCCTAACCACTGGACCACCAGGGAATTCCCAAGAGATGTGTTTTTAGCCTCCCTTTTATATCGTTCATTTTGCCCTTCATATTTCATTCTGTGCTTTCTTCTTCTATTCTGCTTCTCTTTTTCCAGATTCTTGAGTTCATTTTTAGCCCATTGGTACTGTTCGTTCTTTCTTTCTTTTTCTGGGAGTAGATGGTGCTTCTGCTCTTGGCTGGGGACACTTTGATTCTAGTGTCTCTCCAGTGGGACATGGTGAAGTTAACAAGCACTTGAAACCTTTCCAGAGATTTTGTGAAATCACAACATTCTGTTTCTAATCCTTATAGTTTAAAAATGCAATGGCATTAAAAACAAACAAAAAACCAAGCCACAGTATCCATTTCCAATGTTACCCAGATGGTTATGTCACTGTTATGATTTCATTCTGCCCCAGTCCCTTTGCTCATGTTCCTAGTTCCAAATGCCTTCATTGTCCTGTATTTTACCTACAGCACTTACCCTTTCATCTAGATAATATTCAGTTTACTTATTGTCTTCCACCGTGAGATTTTAAGATCCATGTGGTTCAGAATTTTTCTCAAGTGCTGTATCTCTATAACTGCATGTAGTAGGAATTATCACCTAAATAGATTTTCAGCAAATGAATGAGTCAGAGCTACAGCTGTATAGAGAAGCAACTCGCCTGAGACAGAGGGCTTTGCCAGTAGAAAGAGCCCAAGGATGTCTGATGTGAAGAGAATGTTCCATTTTTCTAGTCTCCACTGTCCTCTCCAGGAGACAGGCAGAGTCTAGATCTGCACTGTCCACTAGAGCACCCCTGGCCACACATGGCTCTTGAGCTCTTGTACAGCTATCAAAATTGAGTTGGGTGCATGTGTGAGATCCATACCAGATTTCTAGCATTAAGTATGACAAAAATAACATAGACTATCTCAGTAATTATGTTGGTTATGTACTGAAATGATCTGTATACTTGTATTTAGTGGGCAAAATGAAAATTATTAAAATTTCAATACAGGGACTTCTCTGGTGGTCCAGTGGTTAAGACTCCATGCTCCCAGTGCAGGGGGCCCAGGTTCGATCCCTGGTTGGGGAACTAGATCCCACATGTCACAAGTGAAGATCCCGCGTGCTGCAATGAAGATCCCACGTACCACAACTAAGACCTAGCGCAGCCAAATAAATAAATAGGTAAATAAATATTAAAAATTTCAATACATTTTTATAAGGTAGTGACAAGAAAATTCAAATTTGGATATGTTGTCTGTATTGTCTTCCTATTTAATGGCACTGCTCTAGATCAGGAGTTGGCAAACTACAGCCCACAGGCCAAACCCAGCCTGCCACCTACTTGCATAAAGTTTTATTGGCACACCACCACATCCATTCTTTGACGTGTTGTCTCTGGCTACTTCTGTGTGACAAAGGCATACCTGAGCAGTTGTAACAGAGACCACGTGGCTAGAAAAGCCTAACAATGTACTCTCTGACATTTGCAGACAAAGTCTGCTGATCTCTGCTCTAGGTCATTGTACATATTTTGAGGAATAATGGGCATAATCATCCTGTAACATGTATGTACAGAAATGCAGCTGCTAGACATTTAGGTTTTTAAAGCAGTCAGACCTACATACAAGGTTCTAATTGGGTAACATTGAGCATATTATTAATTTATTCTGTCCTTTTGAGTTTCCTCTGCTACATACTGATTGTAATGATATCTACTGTGAGATTTATTATGAGACATAAATGAACTCAGGTGTGCAAAATATTTCACACATCATGGATGCTCAAATAGCACATTTTCTTATTAATGCTGTTGTGAGATTGTTACAGGTTTTGATGGCTTTTAAATGTCACCTGATACACAGTGGTGGAAGAGTTAGTTGAATTTTATCTGTGGATAAAAGTTTGTCTTGAGACAGTGCTAGATACCAGAGTACCTTGGTAATTAGTAATTAGGGATGCCTAAAGCAGCTGACTTTACTTACCAGCCTCATGAGAGAGTGTTCCCATTCTGAAGCATTCTTGTTCTGCTGCTGTTTATTGAACAGGTAAATCGTATCCCCTGCATTGGAGTGTGGCAGCCTATGTTCACACCTCTGCGTGTGGAAGCTGATGGAGTGATGCACTTCCTCAAAAGCCAGGCTGTTGGGGGACCCTGCAAGCCATCAGATTCCATGCTCAGGGGTTGGGCAGTTATGCCTGTCTGCATGCCACGGGGTGCAGAAATGACTGCTGTGTGTAGTGCCCCTAGGAGGCTGGTGTATAAGTCAGTACCTCTGGCTTTTCAGTGGGAGCAGATGTCCTTCGGGAGGAAGGTGCCACCTGATCCCTTTATACCTTTTATGATCTGGGCAGATTCACAGCCAAACCCTTCTGGACTTCAATTAATTCATTTCCACAGTGGGCTCAGAACTGCCTCTTCACAGGCAGGAAGGACCAGGGCACTCTTTTCTGGGGAAGGCAAGGCTGTTCTGGTGTCTTGTGACATCAGTGACATCAGTTGAGGAAGAGCCACCACCCATAATTTTGACATCACTCATAATTATCAGCACTCAGGCCCCTGAATGCAGGCACTGTCGTGAGGTCTGAAGTCTTAGGCTTCCCTTCTCTTGGCTGGGCTCCAACTTGTCAATACACTGACTGCCTCCTGGAGAGCATGGAGAGAAAGGAAAAGGTGCTGTTTCATAAAAGAACAGGAGACAGATAAGTAAATATTAATGCTTCGCACAAAGGTGGACCTGCCAGTTTATGATGGATTGGAATTTTCCAAGGAACTATATCCATCTCAGGGCCTGGGTTGAAGGTTGGGCATAATCAGGCCTCTTGAGAATCAAATTGTTGGTGAGGGGGCAAGCAAGAAATGCCCCTGGACCCTCACTGTGTTTTAATTCATTAAAACCTCATCCAGGTCTGACTTGGTTTCATATCATGCTTTGGCCTGTATTGGACCATGAAGAAGGAGTTGAAATCATTTTCATTACAAGGAACTGATGTTTTTAAAGATAAAATAATTGTTTTATTTGTACAGTATTTCTTACATATCTCCCATGTATTGTGGACTGTTCTGGACCCTTCAGATGGAGGGGAAGAGTGGAAGGAGCCAGAGTCAAACTAGAGAGATGGGTGTTAAATCTATGAGGCAGGCTGGCACCTCAGAGGAAGTCAGCGCTGAAGAGAGGGGAAGAGATGATGGCAGAACCCTAGAGTTGATGGGAGACCACAGAACCATGGATGAACTTGCTGTGAATTGAGTCCTGGTTCCCCAATGCTGTCAGCCTCCCCCTTCCTTCTGCACACACAGGTGGAGAGTGGTACCTCGTTAAACCAGAATTTGTTGGATGTTTTCGAGTCAGTGGTCTTTGAGGATGTAGCTGTGGACTTCACCCCAGAGGAGTGGGCTTTGTTGGATCCAGCTCAGAGGAACCTCTACAGAGATGTGATGCTGGAGACCTTCAGGAACCTGGCCTCAGTGGGTAAGGATGACATCATTCCTTTACTGACTCTCTAGAGGACAGGTATCCCCAAGCTATTGAGCTTGCTCTAGAACTTGGGCTGAACAGTGGGAATTTATTGCTAAGTAAGACAGACATGGTCACATTACTATGGAGCATATAGTCTAACAGCTTTCTCATGTATGTATGAAACCTACTACTTTCTCATTAAATGTTTTTAGCCTCTGTAAGGGTTATAACTGTTCCTTAAGAGGAACAGCCCTTGCTGGGAAACATTATATTTGGAAATATTAATTAGCAAAAGAAATTATTCTTCTTTCTGTGGAAGTTGAATTTTGCAGATACGTTAGCTTCCCTTTTTTTGACTTTTCATCCATCCTCATGAATGGCCTTGCGCACATTGAAAGACCTTCCATATTTCCTCTTTGAAAGTTTATATTTGGGCATATGCATTTTGTCCAATTCCATCCTGTGTTGCTTCCTGACAATAGGGCATTTATGTCACCAGAAGTCTCAGTCTTCATGGAAGTATTTCCAGTAAATTGCCCACCATTTTGTCTTCTTGTCCTTATTATTGTCAAAGTCCTCAAGTAGCCAGAACTCCTCCAATTCTTTTTTTACTCAAAAGTGCATTTTTCCTTATAAAACTTATCTCTTGGGTTGCTCTTGGAAAGAAATGTACATATTTCCTACTTATTTTCTTGCCTTAATCCCACCAGTTCATTCCAAAGAAAGTAAACTTGTTACTATTTTTCATATTATGGCACTCAAATTAAAATCAGTGGGTTAAGTCCTCTACAGTGAATGTTTGGGGAAGTATGAAATGAACAGAATATAGTTAAGTTTCAGAAGAAATGATTCCTGATTCTCCATTTTAGGAGAAAACTGGAAATGCCATAGCATTGAAGATCAGCACAAGAACCAGGGAACACATTTGAGGTGAGTGACACATACATTAGAGAAAGTAGGTCTCAGGAGAGAGTGCCATGATATTAATAAGTGTGTAGATATATGTCAGATCTTAAGTGTTCACAGAGAATTTTCACAAGACAATTTTATAAACATGATACAGATGTTGGCTGATTGAGACGTAGTTCAGTTGTAAACAATTGTCAGGAAACAAAATCCCATATATAAAAAACAGTGAAAATGGTACCTCAGGTTGAGCCCTCTGTCAGAGCACTCAGCTTATATCACTTTGAAACAATTCTAACAGGGCAAGAAACATACACATTCACTGAAAATGGTAAAAGTGTAATCATATTAATCATTAAAAACCATAATGAATTGTTAACAAATCATTAGTAATATGATTCCTATTTTTAACAGATGGCGTGTGGTGGAGATACCCTCAGAAAATAATGAAAGTAATCAATGTGGAGAAACCAACCAGATTTCCAATCTTATTGTACATAAGAGACTTTCTACTGGAGTAAAATCCTATGAATACAATAAGTTTGAAAAACCCATCATGGATTCTTCATCCCTCAAGAGTCCCATAGCATCATCTCAACATGGACAAAAACCCTATCAGTGTAAGGAATGTGGGAGAACCTTTATTTCTTACTCATCATTTGGGGCACACATAAGAGCTCACACTGAAGAGAAACCCTACGCATGTAAAGAATGTGGAAAAGCCTTTATATATTTCTCCAAACTTAGAGTCCATATAAGAACTCACACTGGAGAGAAGCCTTATGAATGTGAAAAATGTGGGAAAACCTTCAGATCTCCCTCAAACCTTTGGACACATAGAGAAACTCATACTGTTGAGAAACCCTATGCTTGTAAAGAATGTGAGAAATCCTTCTCTTCTCCCTCTTCTCTTAGAAAACATGTGAATGTTCACAGTGCAGAAAAAGCCTATGAATGTAAGGAATGTGGAAAAGCCTTCCTTCCTTCTTTTTACCTGATCATACATGCAAGGATGCACACTGGAGAGAAAGCCTATAGATGTGTGGAATGTGGGAAAGCCTACAGCTGGCCCTCAGACCTTAGGATTCACATAAGGACACACTCTGGAGAAAAGCCTTATGAATGTAAACAGTGTGGAAAATCTTTCAGTTCTCCTTCATCCTTTAAGGGACATTTGCGAACTCACACTGGAGAGAAACCTTACGCATGTAACAAATGTGGGAAAGCCTTCAGTAGTCCTTCATACTTTAGAACACATGTGCGAATTCACACTGGAGTAAAACCCTATGTGTGTAAGCAATGTGGGAAAGCTTTCAGTTGGTCATCATCTTTTCGAGGACATTTGAGAACTCACAGTAGAGAGAAACCGTATGAATGTAAGGAATGTGGTAAAGCCTTCAGTAGGCTTTCATCCTTACAAAGACATGTGAGAATTCACACTGGGGAGAAACTCTGAATGTCAGCAGTGTGAGAAAGCCTTCTATACTCCCCTATCCTTAAAGAAAACACATGGAAACTCAGGAAGGAAGGAAACTCCATGCCAGTTCCAATGATGGAAGGCCTGCATGCAGTTTACATGTATTGTGCACCACAAACTGCATAGCATTGGAAAATATTTACAAAGGTCTTGGATATACTGTTGGCTTTATTAGTGCCTTATTCTTAAAGTAGATCCCTATCACATTATTTCCAGTTCTTTATGAGGATAACATCTAGGAGATAATAATTCTTTAAGTATTACTTTGCCAGGGCTGCCCTAACAGATCGCCACAAAGTTGGTGGCTTAAAGAAACAAATGTATCCTCTTTCAGTTCTGGGTACTAGAAATTGGAAATCAGGCGTTATTAGGGTTGGTTCCTCATGAGGGTTCTGAAGAAGAATCAGATCCACGTGCTCTACAAACTTCCAGTGGCTACAGCAATCCCTGGTGTTCTTGGCTTGTGGACGCCATCATTTATTTATTTACTTATTTATTTTTTGGGCCACACTGTGAGACATGCAGGATCTTAGTTCCCTGACCAGGCATTGAAACTGCGCCCCCTGCAGTGGAAGCACAGAGTCCCAACCACTGGACTGCCAGGAAGTCCCAGTAGACACAAGCATGCATCATTCCAATTTCTGTCTTAATTTTTTTAAATTAATTAATTTAATTTTGGCTGCATTGGGTCTTCATTGCTGCGTACAGGCCTTCCCTAGTTGTGGCGAGCAGGGGCCACTCCTCGTTGAGGTGCACAGGCTTCTCACTGTGGTGGCCTCTCTCGTTGCGGAGCACGGGCTTTAAGTGTGCGGGCTTCAGTAGTTGTAGCGCACGGGCTTAGCTGCTCCGCGGCATGTGGGATCTTCCCAGACCAGGGCTTGAACCCATGTCCCCTGCATTGGCAGGCGGATTCTTAACCACTGCGCCACCAGGGAAGTCCCTGACTGGGGATTTTAATATTTCTTGTTTAGAAGGCAAAAAAGAGGGCTTCCCTGGTGGCGTAGGGAAGAGAGGCCACAACAAGAGAGGCCGCAATAGTGAGAGGCCCGCGAACCGTGATGAAGAGTGGTCCCTGCTCGCCGCAACTAGAGAAAGCCTGCACGCAGCAACGAAGACCCAACACAGCCAATACATTAATAAATTAATTTAAAATAAAAGAAGGCAAAAAGAAGGGACTGGGGCTAAAATTAACTTGTAAGGAAACAAGTCAGTTTTGTTAGCTAGACTAGGAGAAAATTTCATCATTTTTGTGATTTGCATAATTCTTTTGATCCTGTGTGACGACATGATCACAGAGTGCTCTTGCTTGTGCCTTACTCCATAACATAACACCCAGTGGCCTTGTCTGATGACAGTGTTGTTCAAAATGGTTTCTGTTTAAGGGACCTGCCTGGTGGTCCAGTGGTTAAGATTCTGCACTTCCACTGCAGGGGGCGCAGCTTCGATCCCTGGTCAGGGAACTAGGATCCTGTTTGCCACCACGTGGCATGGCCAAGAAATTTTTAAAAAAAAAAGGTTTCTGTTCAGCAGAACACCACAGCCTAGGAGTGAAGACCAGGCCAGGTAGATCCCCGTCTCAAGGGCTGATTCTTTTTTCTCACTATGTGAACATTTTAGTATGTTTACTATATATCTGCCACTGTTTTGTTTCCCATAAATTAGTTCAGTTAATGTAAGTTGAGGTAATCCTCCAAAACTATAATGTAGATACTCTAATCTCCTTTTGTGAGTTAACTGGGGCCTACAGATTACAAAGCTAGCAAGTGGTAAAGACAGGATCAGGATTCAAAACAAAACCTTCTAGCCCTGAAACCATGCTCTTCACTGCATGTTAGTCTTTGAACCTCCTTAATACACCAGCCATTCTAAGCTCAAAACAAAATTAGGCCCAATCATGGTACACATGGTAGACTCTCAATGCAGAAGCAGGAAACAAGTGCTTGCAGTTCTGATTTGGCATCAAAGATGGAAATATGTGTCTTGGTGGAAAATAATCCATGATAAGAGAGATAATAGGGAAAGCAGGAGGGTGTAGTCTGTACTTTTTTTCCTCTGAAAGGCAGGGGGGCATCAGTGAGTGAGGATGTGTTCATTAACTTATAATTTCATCATCTAGTGTCTTAAGTAAACACTACTAAAGGAAATGCTCAAGGGAAGTAGAATAATGAGTCTCCATAAAAATAAAATCCTTGTGGTTGCCAAGGGGGAGGGGGTGGCAAAGGGAAGGATGGGGAGTTTGGGATTAGCAGGTGAAAACTATTATATATAGGATGGATAAGCAAGGTCCTACTGTATAGCACAGAGAACTATATTCAATATCCTGTGATAAACCACAATAGAAAATAATATGAAAAAGAATATATATATATATATGACTGAATCACTTTGCTGTACAGCAGTAATACAACATTGTAAATCAAGTATACTTCAATAAAATTTGAAAAATAAAATTCTACTCATGGTAATTAAAAGCTTTAGCTCATGTGACATGTACTTAGGAATTGGAAAGGGTTTCTGTCATCAGTGTCCCATCATTTATTTGGGCCACAGAGTGTGGCTGTTTATAATTCTTTTGAAAGAACTGTAAATTGGATTATATATTTGGCATTATCATTTTGCTATTATAGTATAGTCCAATGAGTTTTGTATCCCGGAAATCAGAGTTGCCCCCTAGTTTGCAAAAGGAATATGGTCATTTGCACAGCTATACCCTAGCATGTGCCTTTTCCTATGAGCAGAATGATACCTATACAAGCTCTCGGAAATGTCCTGGTAGATGCAAGGAAAACTGCAGTCAGTGACAGGATTTTTCCGCATCATAAATCCATTTCAGCTCTCAAATTCCTTTCCCAAGCCCATTTCTATGTCTTTTTGCTGAGAGACCTCATTAAGGGATCCACACCTGTCTCCATTTTGGGAATATTTCCCCTAAGCAATGCCATGTGGCAGTGAGTGGGAACAGAAAACAAGGGCAACCAGGGCCCAGGACAGTTACTAACAAACTTTGGGCCAAGGGCAGAGGAACCAGCTCTCGATCATCTTCAGCTCAGAAGCAAGAACCAGGGTCACCATGCCTACCTCAGTCTCACCACCACCTCGACGCTGGACCCACAGATGCCGCATGCGCAATCACAGCCCCTGTGTCGCAGTCGACCACCATGGGTCAGGAGCAATCGGGGCTGGGGCTCAGGGCTGCACATGTGCAGTCCACACCTAGAGCCACCTGGACTCTGGCTCCCTAGTCATTCGCAGCCTCCAGACCGGCTTTAAAGAGCCCTCCCCTTTGTCCTCCAAGTTCACTCACTTCCTGGGACACCACCCCAGGGAACCTGAGCCCCTTGAAAAATGCAGCTGGAAGAAAGACAGCCCGCAGAGACTAGATTCCAGGCCCTCATTGCTTCCAGCACACAACGCGGCCTCCATGCCCCACCAGCTGCCCCCAGAGGCTGCTGGCCGTTCTGACCTTTGTCGACTGCCCAGGTTCAAGTGGATTATCCTTCCCGTGTTGGTAGCTGTGGCCTCTGGTTTTCCGGAAAAGCCTGAAAGGACGCCAGGCAGGGCCGAAGGTAGCGGAAATCTCTGCCTTCTACTCTGGCCTCACCGGACCTCACTTCTGCCTCCAGCCGGTAACCAGGTACTGAGGCCAGGCGAGGGGTTGGGAGGTTTCCCGAGGCTTCAACCTCCCTTCCTTCCCCGACCATGGCTGCCACTGGGAAGGCAACTAGGTGCTAAGGAAACCACAGCAGATGCTGAGAGACTTAGTAGAGGATACGACAGCTAAAGAGGGATTGCACACCTTGGCAGCCCCAATGCAGTTCCTCCCTGAAATCAAAGGGACGACCAAAACCCTCTGTATTGTCAGGTAGTGAGGGGCCTGTTCTTGGAAGAGACCTAAAGCAGAGTGGCTGGCTGGAGCATCCTTGACAAGGGATGTTGGCCATTGACTCTCAGGGCCTCAGGCTCTTATCATGTGGTGGTGATGTCCCCTTGGCAGTTTCTTATGGTGAGTGCCTTTGAATGTTATGCACGGTGAGGGCTCATCATTGTGAGGTCCCCTCCCTCACCAAGTCGGCTGAAAGACCCTCCTTTGGGATTTGTTTTGAGTGCCAAGGGACATCACTCTGCCACATGGGAAGGGGGTGAGAACTGTATGAGTCTGTTATGAGCTTTGAACAAAACCCTCATTGTTTGTGTGTGAATATATAAGTATCTGAACCTGGTCATTCAACTAGCGTTTATTGATCACCTATGTACCAGGTCCTGTTCTACATGCTGGAGATGCAGCAATGAATAGACACACACACACAAAGTCATGGGGATGTAATGAACAGCAAGGTGACTATAGTTAATAATACTGTACTGTGTATTTAAAAGTTCCTAAGAGAGCAGATCTCAAAAACTTCAGTACACACACTGGGGAAAACCCAGAGACAGAGAAACACTACAGTCATCCATGCAGTGAGATGCACAGACAATCGGCACTCCTGTCAGGACACAGGAACCACCACTCAAACACCTGAAACTTCCCAGACAAATGCATGTGGTGGCATGACAAAATCACACAAACTTTGTCACTGGGACATACACGTGGACACACTCAGACACAGACACATAAATTCAGACACACTGGCAAAGATGATGTCTCCAGAGAAACTAATACACTCCCAGAGATACACAGCCTACAGCCTCTGCGACTCCCCCACTCCCCAACAGCTCTCTTTACTTAGAACTAACCAACATCAGATACGTCATCTATTTCACTTGTTATCTCTCCTCCTGGAACAGGGACTTCACACTTCCTGAACCTGCACAGTACAAAACGCCTCTCTCCCTAAGAACCACAAGAACCCAACATGTGGAGGAAGTGTCGGGGCCCAACATGGCTTGGGTTGTGATGTTCCAGCCCCCCACACTGCTGAGGATTCTACCAGCAACACACTCATCACTACCTTTACCCTTTGTCACTCTGCTTTCCAATTGGAAACTCAATGCGGGCAGCCATGGTGTCTGTCTTGTCGACTGGCAGCCATGTGTCCTGCACTGTGGTCCCCTCGGCAGCGCTCTCTGCTGGTCTCATGTGCCCGTAGACTCCACTCCGTCCACCCTGGGTGGCCCCAATGTCCTCCCGGAGACTCCGAGGATGGGCGCTTAGGGAGCGCAGACCACACATCTCCAGGCCACAGAGGTAAGTCTTCCTGATGCACAAGACGTGGTGACCCGACTTCCATCTTTCCCTGGGCGGCCTCTCAGTCGCCCCACCCACGAGCACCTGCACACTTCTGCGAAGTCTGCGATCCCTGGTGTCTCCAGCGGTGTTTAAGAGGCAGTCGCGTTGCATGCCAGGAGGAGTCTGGGGGCGGGGCTCTGGGCGTCTGCTTCTGAGATCTCCATTTCCCACAGGCCACAGCGGCTGAGACTACGCTCAGCACAGGCGTTGGTAGAAGTGCGCATGCACCGCGGTGGGGCAAGACCCAGAGGGGAGGTGGGGAGGAGGCGCGACTGGAAGTGATAAGTATGAGCGGGATTGGTGCACCTGCAACCTAAATCCTCCGGTGGTGGATGATCGTGGGGCAGTGGGTGTATGCGCGTGGGCGCCAACGGGCAGGCCATGGCTGGATGTCCCTTTGACGTCCCTGGAGGTTTTGAGATTGGTGTGCGCCTTGGAGCTTGTGGGCGCTGAGCTGATGCTCCTGAGGAAGCGGGGGTTGCTGTGGCCACAGGCCGTCTGTCGCTTTGTCGCAGGTTCTGCTACTGCTGTGTTTCTGTCATCTCCCAGACCCATGCAGCTGCCGCAACGTTCCACATGTGGCAGTGTAGAACCCTCATGATGTCTCCCAGCAAGAAGTCACAGGACCCGGCCTGATGCAATTTTAGAGCTGGATGGCCTCCAGACAGGCCCAGGAAGGGCATGACGCTGATGCCCAAAGATTAAGATGCCCCCAGGCAGGTCTCTTGGGGAGAACTGTAGGGGCACTTTTATGGTTCAGACCAGAGCATTCCCAGAGATCTCACTGGAGGAAGCTAGCATAAACTCGGAGAAAGATTCCAGGAGCCCTTTCACTTCTCTCCTGTTGTGCGAGGCTAAGGACAGACGTGGTCCTTGCAGGTGTTTCCTAACTTTAGACCAAGTTCCAAGAATCTGTTTGGCCCCAAGTCCTTCTCCCGGCCCCCTCCAGGTCCTTCAGCATTTATTGAGGATCCCAAGATGGAGGTGGGCTGGGTGTCAAGGTTCAGGAGTTTTAAAATTCCCTTAGCAAACGAAGGCTTTGTTTTTCTATTATTTTTAATATACATGCAATAAAATTCACTATTTTAAGTGAAGCGCCATGAGTTCTTATAAGTGCAGAGATAACACCAACGTCAAAATGAACACGCCATCACCCTGAAAAGAACAGGTGCCCATTTGTTCTCAAATGCCCCATCCATAATCACTGACCTGTTTGTTTCCTATACTCTTGTCCTATCCACATCTCATAAAAGGAAAGCCTTCCTTTGTTAGGAGTCTTTTTGTAAAACTTGATGCCATTTTTCTAAAATTCAGAAATCGCACTTGCCTTCCAGTGTTAAATATCCAACACTTCCCAATAAAGATTAAGCAAAACTAAAACCTTCAAACCTGACATTCCATTTTTATGAGCTACATGAGTTTGGGCAACTCTGTGCTCCCCGTGCTTGTCATCCTCTGAATGATAGGAGGGAAGGAGGTACAGATGATTGTCAAATCACATCAAACTATGGAGTGCTATGAAAACCTAAGTTAGCACGGAAAAAAAAATTAGAGATTAGACATCAACTGCTCTTTAATAAAAATAACTGACTGCTTCTGTTCTACCAATTAGTTTTAGACAACCTCAACTACTTATGCTTTCTACACTCACCAAGCACCAGCCCAAATCGGAAAATATATTCTTCCAAACAACCTCTGACTGGTACATCCCACTGTCTGTGCACTCATTCAAATTGCTATAACTCAATACATCCATTTTCTTTGGTCAAACCAATGTGGTCCTGGTGGCTTTTGGCTAGAGACCATTGACAAAACCATTATTTAAGCTTTTATTATTAACAAAGAATAAGCAATCCATTTAATGACAGATGTTCATGTAACAATAAAAATGTTTATATGACAAAAACCACCTTAACTTGTATATGCCAGCTAATATTGTCTCAGACTGTATAATGCTTAAATTAACAATATTAGTTGATTTAAATCCATAATTGCAATGGAATACTTTAACATATTCTCAGTACATGAAAAATAATAACATTTGTATTACGGATTGAACTGTGTTCCCCCCCAAATTCATATGTTAAAAGTTCCAGTATCTCAGAATGTGACCTTATTTGAAAATATGGTTGTTGCAGATATAAGTAGTTAAGATGAGGTCATACTAGAATAGGATGGGCCCTAACCCAATATGTATGGTGTCCTTATAAAAAGAATGCCATATGAAGAGACAGGCATGCACAAGTAGAATGCCATGTGAAGATTTTTTTTTTGGCGGGGGGAGCTGCGTTGGGTCTTCGTTGCTGAGCGTGGGCTTTCTCTAGTTGCAGCGAGCGGGGGCTACTCTTCGCTGCAGTGCGCAGGTTTCTCTTGTTGCGAAGCACTGGCTCTAGGTGCATGGGCTCCAGCAGCTGTGGCATGTGGGCTCAGTAGTTGTGGCGCACAGGCTTAGTTGCTCTGTAGCATGTGGGATCTTCCTGGACCAGGGCTCGAACCCGTGTCCCCTGCATTGGTAGGCGGATTCTTAACCACTGTGCCACCAGGGAAGCCCCCATGAGAAGATTAGTTATGCTTGTTGCAAGCCAATGAGCTAACAGAAGCTAGGAGAGTGCTGGAACACATCCTTCCTTAGCACTTTCAGAGGAAGCATGGTCCTTCCAACATCTTAACTTTGGACTTCTGCTTCCAGAACTGTGAGACAAAAATTTCTGTTGCTCTAGCCACCCAGCTGTGTGGTGCTTTGTTACAGAAGCCCTAGGAAACTAATACAGTTTGTATACAAGTGATTTGGAAACACAGTAAACAAGATTTTTCTTGAAAATAAACACTGTTTTTAGTGACTTAGAATCAAACATAATAATTAAACCCATATCAAGGAACTGCATTTAGCTCTAACAGACATCTCCCCAAATTCACGAGGAGTATGTTTGTTCTCATGTAGGACCGAGTCAACGCATTTAAAAATACAGTAGGACTTCCCTGGTGATGCAGTGGTTAAGACTCTGCACTTCCACTGCAGAGGGCACAGGTTTGATCCCTGGTCAGGGAAGTTCTGCATGCCACATGGTGCAGCCGGAAAAAAAAAGAAAAAAGAAAAAAGGAAAAAAATACAATACCTTAACAAAGTCCCACGGGTTGTTTTGTTTTCCTACAACATTGTAGCTTTTGTGGTAGAATCACGATCAGAGAGTCACTAAAAGTTTTGAGAACAAAGAGTCTGCTATACAAATTAGACCTTGTAAAATATGTTAACATCTAGAGAAGAGTGGAATCATAGCATCAGAGATCACTAAACATGAGTCTGAATTAGTGGTCTGCAGGACATGTTAGGGTTTGTAGGAAAATCCAAATTGTGAGTGCCTGACCACATGACTGAATCCCTGACACCAAGCTCTTGGAGGTATTTATGGAAGCCTATAACTCTGAGAAAAATAGAAATCAAGTACTTGGAATTTCTTTTGATGATACTCTTGATTGGTAAGGCCAACAATCAGGAAAACAGGCTGAAAGCTGGTTTCCAAGTAGGCCCTATGCATCTCTCTCTCATATTTTAATGTGGCTGCAAAAACTTAGTAATGGCTTCATTTCTGCCTTCCAAATCTCATGCCAATAGGCTACTGGTAAATTCGAACACAGAATCATAAAGGGAAGGGATTTTGGGAACTGTAGCTCCTAACATTACCCATGCTGACGTAACACAATCCAGAACTCTGTATCTCATGATCACATCACAAGCGTCTCTTAAGTAAAAACCCACTGTTTAATTCACTATCACAAGCAAGGACAAAGTGAAGGACAAAAGCTGGAAGTAACAATTCACATGAGACTGTACACTTGGAAGAACTCTGCATAATTACAAATTTCTGCCAAATATTTAGAAGAAAAACAGAATAAGATTCCACTGGCCTAAACAAATATTCTCTCAATCCATGGTGGAAAACATATAATGGTTGATTATCCAATATCTGCCACACTAAGCCAGTAGGAAAATACAAACAAATACCACAGTGTCATTGTTCCAATAACCCCTTTAAGGACAATTTAAAGAACTAACATATTAAAACTACACTTCAAATCACCCATGAGTCCAACAAACTGTAAAGATGCTTTATTTCCTAAAACATAAGAAAAAACACTTCCTGCAAAATTTACGTACTGTAGCCAAAAGAGTACTTCAACAGTTAATTTTCATCTAAATGTTTATTTGCAAAAGAACTGGAAATACACTCCCTATGGGTCCACTTTAGTGATGAAGGACTCATAAAGGCAATACCAGGTTTACAACTTTTGTAAGATTTCTCTCCTGATATGAATTTTCTGAAGTACTGTGCATGAATTCATTTGCAGGAGGAGTTCCCGAGTTTCATATGTAGTGTTTCTTGGTAGTATGTATCCTCACATGTCTTCTTAAGGATGAGGAACAACTGAAAGCCTTCCCACACTGCTTACATTCATATGGTTTCTCTCCAGTGTGCATTCTCATATGTATTGGTAAAGATGAGGGCCATTTGAAGACTTTACCACATTCCTTACATTTGTAAGGTTTCTCTGCAGTGTGCGTCCTCACGTGCTGTTGCAAAAGTTCAGGCCAGCTGAAGGCTTTCCCACATTGCTTGCATTCATAAAGCTTCTCAGCAGTGTGCCTTCTCATGTGTCTTTGTAACGAGATGTGGCAACTGAAAGCTTTCCCACAGAGCTTGCATTCATATGATTTGTCTCCAGGATGCATTCTCACATGCTCTTGATAGCAAGCGGACAAACTGAAGGCTTTCCCACATTGCTTACATTCGTAGGGTTTCTCTTTAGTGTGTGTTCTTATATGTTTTCGCAAGGATATGGGCCAGTTGAAAGTTTTTCCACACTGCCTGCACTCGTAAGGTTTCTCTCCAGTGTGCACTCTCATGTGTCCTCGAAAGGATGAGGGGTGGCTGAATGCCTTACCACACTGGTTACACTCATAGGGTTTTTCTCCACCATGTGTCCTTTCATGCCTTCGAAATGACTGGGGATAAATGAAGGCTTTTCCACATTGCTTGCATTCATAGGGCTTCTCTCCAGTGTGAATCCTTTCATGGCTTCGAAAAGATTGGAGATAAATGAAGGTTTTCCCACACTGTTTACATTCATAGGGCTTCTCCCCCGTGTGTGTTATCATGTGCCTTCGAAAAGCCGAGGAATAACTGAAGGCTTCCCCACATTCCTTACATTTATGTGGTGTCTCCCCAGTGTGTGATATCATGTGTCTTCGAAAAGTTGAGGAATAACTGAAGGCTTCCCCACATTCCATACATTTATAGGGCTTCTCTCCAGTGTGTGTTATCATGTGTCTTCGAAAAGTTGAGGAATAACTGAAAGCTTTCCCACATTCCTTACATTTATATGGCTTCTCTCCAGTATGCGTTCTCACATGACTAGTAAGACTTGAAAAATCAATGAAGGCTTTCCCACATTGCTGACATTCATAGCTTTTCTCCGCAGTATGAATCCTTATATGCCGGTTGAGGGAAGAAGTACGAGGAAAAGTTTTTCCACATAATTTACACACATAGGGTCTCTCTCCACTGTGGGTTCTCACATGCGTCCTTAGGTGTGAATGACAGCTGTAGGCCTGCCCACATTCCTGACATTGATACGGTTTGTTTCCAGTGCAAACAGCGATGTGACTCTTGAGGGATGAATGATGCGTGAAGACTTTTCCATGTGTACTGCATTCATACATTTTTACTCCAGTAAGAGTTTTCTGGTACAGGTTAAGATTTGGAGTCTGACTGAAGCCTTCCCCACATTGATCAGTACTTTCATGGAGTCTCTCCACCACGTGATTTCTGTTAAAAATGAGAAGCATTTTATCAATGGTTTGATTAATAATGATTTATTAGTAAGTACGAGAATTACATTTTCACCAATTTCAGTGGATGGATAGATTTTCTCCCTGACTTTTTTTAAAAATAAATTTATTTTATTTATTTATTTTTGGCTGCATTGGGTCTTCATTGCTGTGCGAGGGCTTTTCTCTAGTTGAGGTGAGCAGGGGCTACTCTTCGTTGCGGTGCGCAGGCTGCTCATTGTGGTGGCTTCTCTTGCTGCAGAGCACAGGCTCTAGGTGCACGGGCTTCAGTAGTTGTGGCACACAGGCTCAGTAGTTGTGGCTCACAGGCTCTAGAGTGCAGGCTCAGTAGTTGTGGCGCACGGGCTTAGTTGCTCCACAGCATGTGGGATCTTCCCCGACCAGGGCTTGAACCCACGTCCCCTGCACTGGCAGGAGGATTCCCAACCGCTGTGCTACCAGGGAAGCCCTATCTGACTTCTTTTAAAGTGGAATGAACTCAATGCCACAGAAGGGGGCTCAACCACAACGATTACAAAAACAATGTTTCTTAAACATGGGCTCTTCTGTTGATTGTTTTCAGCTGTTTCTATCACTCAACATCAATGTCACATTTAAGAAAAAAAATCATCGTGAAAATCTCTATGAATAAACAAATTTGATCTAGGCTTACATGTGTTTTGTTTGTTTGCTTTTTAAACTTTATGACATACTAAGATTCTCTCCTGAAATACTGCTTTCTCTCATGAGTGCAACTCACCTCAGATGTCTCCCTTGGTCTATGTGCTGATCTTCAAGGCTGAGTTCTTCCCAAATTTTTCCTAAGACGGAGGTCAAGGAATCATTTCCAGTGAACTTTGATATTTTATGCTCCTTGGATATTTTATTCCCATAAATATCCTGCTGAGAAACTGACCCATTGGCCTTAAATTGAGTCTCATCCTCTGAAAGCAAAAAGGTAACAAATCTTACAAGAAAGGAGGTACCTGTTAGCCAAAAAGGACACGGAGGAGTTTAGCTATGTCAAGACTTCATCAATAACAAGTATAAGGGGTCAAAATGGTAAGCACTTTAACAAAGTAAAATTCTCATATGGTTCAAAAACAGACCTCACTGGGCCCCCTAAGGCCCCATGAAATCTATATCCACCAATGATGCTAAGGGAGCTTTCTTTACAGAAAGAAGAACTCAGTTTAATACACAGATTCTCAGTCTCATGGGGAGAAACTATTAGATTCTAAGTCTATGATGGTTATGACCATGTCTGTCTTATTAGTTAACGTATTCCCTTTCCACAGTCCAATTCTTGGAACAGTGATGTGCCAGAAATGCTTGTCTCTAAATGACTAAGTGAAGGAATGATGTCTTACCCACTGAGGCCAGGTTTCTGAAGTTTTCCAGCATCACATCTCTGTAGAGCTCCCTCTGAGCAGAATCCAGCAAAGCCCACTCCTCCAGATTGAAGTCCACGGCCACATCCTCAAAGACCACCGAGTTCTGAAACACCCAAGATATGTGCAGGTGCATGGGTGAGACTCACAGCACTGAACAACTGGACTCAAGTCACAGGAAGTTCAAATAAGATTCCATGGTCATCTAACATCTACTCTGTGATCCAGTCATCACACCTCCTACTTTATGTCCACAATCATAGATTATCCTCATAGATTTAACAGCATTAACACACTGAACTTATCTCTACACTTTTACTGTGACCATTCAAGGCTTATTCTTCTCCAACCAAAGGGTTTAGACCACATTGGAGAAACGAAAAAAAAATGCTATACAAATGAAATAATATTTGCATTTTAAGACCCATCAATCCCTTGTGACACAAGTGACTTTAGCTCCTTCCTACTGTACAACATCCATAAGCACATGAAGCCCAAGGTCAACCTGGATGAGGTTTAAGGAATACAAACACAATGAAGGACTGGGAACTTTTCCTTCTCTTTCCACCACCAAATATGAGAGGCCCATGGGCCTGTGGGAACCCAACTTGCTGCAAGGGCCTGCTAGCCATATTGTCTTTTTTTAACATCTTTATTGGAGTATAATTGCTTTACAGTGGTGTGTTAATTTCTGCTGTATAACAAAGTGAACTGGCTATATGTATACATATATCCCCATATCTCCTCCCTCTTGCGTCTCCCTCCCACCCTCCCTAACCCACCCCTCTAGGTGGTCACAAAGCACCGAGCTGATCTCCCTGTGCTATACGGCTGCTTCCCACTAGCTATCTATTTTACATTTAGTAGTGTATATATGTCCATGCTACTCTCTCACTTCGTCCCAGCTTACCATTCCCCCTCCCCATGTACTCAAGTCCATTCTCTACATCTGCATCTTTATTTCTGTCCTGCTCCTAGGTTCTTCAGAGCCTTTTTTTTTTAGATTCCATATATATGTGTGTGTGTGTGTGTGTGTGTGTGTGTGTGAGCGTATGGTATTTGTTTTTCTCTTTCTGATTTACTTCACTCTGTATGACAGACTCTAGGTCCATGCAAGCCATACTGTCTTAAAGAACTCCAGGCCATCAGGACAGTCCAACTGGCTGAATGAAATATTTCTTTTGAAGAAGTATTAATTTTAACATTTTTGTGTAATAGTTATCACCAGCTCAGTTTCTACTCTTTTCCTCTGTGTATTTTCATGAAAATAGGAAGTCAGAACTGCATACGTTCCCTACACTCCTGAGCCAGTGCTGCTGCCCACCAGTTCTGAGTTCACACACACACACACATTACATGATGCCAAAACAGCTCTCCTACCAGACCCATAAAAGAGTACTCTTGCTGACCTTGAGGATAAGGTTAAGAGCCCTACTTTGCAAAGGACTTTAACATCAAAAACATCTGACAGTGGGCTTCACTAGTGGTGCAGTGGTTGAGAATCCGCCTGCCAACGCAAGGGACACAGGTTTGAGCCCTGGTCTGGGAAGATCCCACGTGCCGCGGAGCAACTAAGCCCGTGCGCCACAACTACTGAGCCCGCGTGCCTAGAGCCCGTGCTCCACAACAAAAGAAGCCACCGCAATGAGAAGCACCACAACGAAGAGTAGCCCCCGGTCACCACAACTAGAGAAACGCCCACGTGCAGCAACGAAGACCAAATGCAGACAAAAAGAAATTAATTAATTTAAAAAAGAAAACATCTGACAGCAAATTTAGCCTTGAGTATAAAATATATAGAGGATTCAGCAGTGCTTTCCTACAAAGGAAACACTCCCTTGCCTCAAATTCCAGGAGACAGTGATTCCACACAAACCATCCTAGAGGCTGCACTCTCAATTTCTCTCACGTCCATGTCCCTCCCCTGGTGGGCACATGAGCGTGTCAGGCCAACCCCTAAGCACAGGGACCACTGAGCTGCATGCCTCCCTTAAGCCATGGGTTTTTAAAAAGTTCATCAACCCGCTGACATCCATGAGCATGGGAAAGAAAACACTCTCATATAATAATCCTGATGCCAGTATTTAATACATATTCAACGGAGTAGCAGCATAACAGGAATATCTCTACTGTACAGGGAACAACAGGAGCTTCTGGAGCTTCTGGAGGTGAGATGCTCTCTGTACAGTTATCTGTAGTGTTTCCTCTACTTAGTGTGCAGGAAAGGAGTTGACATTGCAAACCTTAACTTTATCCTTGGCAGTGACTGCTTGCAAGGTTGGCCTTGGCCAGTGTGTGGGAACTTTAATTTCTGAAGGTTTCACATCACCCTAATTATTACTCCCTGTCTCTGACTGTGCAGACAACACTGTTAGTGCTGAGCACCTGCTTTTCGCCTGGGAGTCTGGGCTTTGGGTCCTTGTTGCGCAGAGGATGCTCACATGATCAGCTGTGAGCTGATAAAAACCCCCGGCGAACTGAGTCCCCAGTGAGCCTCCGGTAGATGGTATTTTACATGCTGTCACAACTCATCGCTGGGGCTATCAGGTGTGTTATGTGCGACCCCACTGGGAAAGGACTCTTAAAAGCCTGCACCTGGTTTCCTTCAGATTTCTCCTCATGCGCCTTTTCCCTTTGCTGATTCTGCTGTGCTCTTTTGTTGTAACAAATCATAGTCATGACTCCAACGATATGCTGTCACGTGAGTCCTACCTGCAGGACCTAGGGGTGGTTTGGGGGACACCAGACACATTAGAACTGGGATTTGCTAGAGCAACCCTGATTCACTAAAATATGGCAAAAGCACTGTCTGGGAAGTGGGAGAGTGAAGGAGGAGGGGATGGCAAACCTTTGCAGCAGGGTAGCTATGGAGTCATCCAGGGTATGAAAGGGCAGCTGTCTGGTGTGAGGCTAAAAGTTGACTGAGGTGTGGGAATTCCCTGGCTGTCCAGTGGTTAGGACTCGGCGCTTTCACTGCTGGGGCCTGGGTTCCATCCCTGGTCGGGGAACTAAGATCCCACAAGCTGTGCCGGGGCAAAAAAAAAAAAAAAGTTGACTGAGGTAAAAATAAGCAATCCAACTCCAGGAGGTCTGGCTCACTGGATATACCAGCTGCCTGTGGCCATGGGGGCCAAGTGAGAAGAAAATCAAAGTTCAGCACAGGTGACACCTGTGATTTTTGCTCTCTCTTCCAGGCAGGAGGAGAAAGGGCTGGCAAGTTCCCAAAAGTGAGCTTTGGATAGGCAAAAAATGTTAAAAGATTGTACTGCATCAGGAGAAAAAAAGTTAAATCAGTTCCTAGAGCTGAAACAAAATTTTAGACAAACCAAAGGGGAGGGGACAGCCAGCCTTTCTTCAGCCTAGCTGCTGGGCCTCCTGGCCCACCCACATGTGCCAGCCAGTATCTTCCCAGCTGTAACGCTATCCCTGTAAACGCTAAATACGTTTACAGAGATAGGCTGAAATCCTAACCCCTGATACCTATAAATGTGACCTTACTTGGAAACAGGGTCTTTGCAAATGTAATCAAACTAAGATGAGGTCATTAGGATGGGCCCTAATCCAATGACTGGTGTCCATAGGAGACAGGGAAAATGCCATGTGAAGACAGAGCCACACAGAGAAGGCAGCAGAGGAAGAAGATGGACACAGAGACTGGAATCATGCTGCCACAAGCAATGGAACGCCTGGGGATACAGAAGGTATAAGAGACAGGAAATGACCCCAGGACCCTAGAGAATTCTGAGGGAGCATGATCCTGCCAACACCTTCATTTCGGACTTCAGCCTCCAGAAATGTGAGAGAACACCCACATTGTGGTAATTTGTTATGGCAGCCCTCGGAAATGAACACAAGGTTTGACTGCAATGAGGGAAAAAAAGGGGGGGGTTGTTTTTTTTTTACTTAAAATGGTTTTGTTTTGTGGCTAATGCACCTGCTTGGATGGTAAAAATGGATACTAATGGTATCTGCTTGTAATTTTATAAATGCTAGAGAGATCATCCCCATCAGTGCTAAGAAAAATGAGACACAGCTTCCTTGCTGTTTCCAACTGGTGCCTGGATTGGAATTGGAACCCTAAGTATCAGAAACAAGATTAGGTCTCCATAAATGATTTTTTACTATGACTTTTACCCACTGGAGGTTCAAAAAGAGGTAAACAGGGACTTCCCTGGTGGTGCAGTGGTTAAGAATCTGCCTGCCAATGCAGGGGATACGGGTTCAAGCCCTGATCCAGGAAGATCCCACATGCCATGGAGCAACTAAACCCATGTGCCACAACTACCGAGCCTGCACTCTAGAGCCCATGAGCCACAACTACTGAGCCCACACGCCTAGAGCCTGTGCTCTGCTACAAGAGAAGCCACCACAATGAGAAACCCGTGCACCGCAACGAAGAGTAGCCCCCACTCACTGCAACTAGAGAAAGCCCGCATGAAGCGACAAAGACCCAACACAGCCAAAAATAAATAAATAAATAAATAATTTTTTAAAAGAGGTAAACAAAATGAAAAAAACAGGCAATCTTTAAGTAAAGATATACTTTTGGAATTTTAGGTAGAAGTTTTCAGTTTGCTAAAAAGCTCTTTTGAAAACCTATTTCGGATGACCTTCAGAGGCTGATTGCCCAGCAGGGGCTTAGCTGGGACTCTAAGGCAGACAAGACAAGAAGGGATTAGGACAGTCTCAATGCAGGGAGAAAGGTACCCAATCTTGCTGACTTTGCTTTATTCTTGCAGTCAGAAATCACAGCCATGAGCAGACTATACACCGAAGCCTGGGAGGCCTCCTAGTGAATCTCTGAACCTAGGGTGGTCATGGGGACTGCTACAGACTGAAGGTTTGTGTCCCCCCAAAATTCACGTCAAAACCTAATCCCCAATGTGATGGTGTTTGGAGGTGGGCCTTTTGGAGGTGGCCAGGAATGGGATTTGCCCTTATAAAAAGGACCCCAGAGAGCTCCCTGGACCCTTCTGCTGTGTGAGGACACAGTGAGAAGACGGCCACCTACAAACCAGGAAGCAGACTCTCACCAGACACCGAATCTTCTGGTGCCTTGATCTTGGACTTCCAGCCTCCAGAACTGTGAGAAACAAAGGTCTGCTG